TGTACCTTTGGGTTTTGGCTCTACAACCATCAGTTAAGCACTGACCGTGTTCCGGGCACTGTGTTAGTTGTTGGGATACTGTTTGCTTCATTCATCCTGGTGGGGGACACACTGACCAATAGCTACGTAAATGAAAAGGCAACTTCAGACAGTGACCGTATTGTAAAACGACTGATGCGGCTTAGCCTGAAAGGAGACGGACTGTGGCAGAGGACGCGTTACGTTGGGTGGACAATGCAGCTCCTAAGTGGAGGGAGACTCAGTGCCAGTGTGTTGCTCTCCAGTCACTTCCAGCTCAGTGACCCCACGTGGCGGAGTGGAATAGCCCCTGGGGTTTCCTGGGCGGTAATGTGGATAGGAGCGGGTCACCACGTCTTTTTTCCCACGGAGAAGCTGGTGGGTTCAAACTGCCGACGTTTCTGTTGGCAGCCGAGTGCTTCACCTCGGGTCACCAGAGCTCCTTTTAAAGCAGGAGCAGAAACCCTAGAATGGGAGTAAGCTCCGTGGCGCTCTGGCCAGAAGCTCGCAGGGTGTGAGCCAGGCCGCGGGGAGGTGGGAGCGTGCGCCAGCGTGTGCAGGGATGTTGAAGACACAGTGAGGAATTTGAGTATTAAGTGCAATGGTGAGACAGTGGAGGTGTCGTGATGTGGGTTGCACATTGTTAAATTTTGGGGTTAGGGTGAGAGAAAGTCTGCACCAGGGGGTGATGAGCAGTTGGGGCCAGGGATGGAGACCAGTCAGGAGGCTTCTGTAGGAACATGGGACAGATGGCGAACGGGGCCTTGAAGTAGGAGGGTGGTTGCCAGTGGAAAGGACGAAGAGGAGTGACCAGGTGAGATTCGCTGACGTGTCGGCAACAGGGGAGGGGGAATGTGTGAAAGAAAGGAACCAAGGACAGCAGTAAGGTTTCTGACTTGAGCAGATGGAGGTGGGGATGGAGGCCATCTTTTACTGAGCTAGGAAAGACTGGGTGACGGCAAGATTGGGGCTCAATCAAACATCGTTTTTGGTCACGTAAACCCTGAGATCCACCACTCGCCTGGTGAGTTTGTCATACTGTGGTGGCTTATGTGTTACTCTGAGGCTGGAGGCTGTGCCACCAGTATTTCAAACAGCAGCAGGGTCCCTCTTGGTGGGCAGGTTACAGCAGAGTTTCCAGACTAAGGC